AATCAAGCAAATTTCAGGTTTTCAAGAAAAAATCATCTATGTCATTATTTTCATCATCCAATAGAGATATTTTGGCTTCATCATTTTAAACTTGGATACCCATCTTTTGGAATTTTATGATATTTCCTTCTTCCTCTAAATGAATTAGGATTAACCAATTTCATTGTAATGTATGTAACTTTGCAAAACAAATATGTGTATCTTTCCAATCAATAATCAAACAAGTTTAGTACTAACTTTCTCTTTGTAAAAGCTATACACACTTATGGATATGCTCCTTCTCAATATACAACAGAATCAGTTCCCCAAATTTCCACAAAAAGCCATCAATTCAAATTATTCAAGTTCAAGACCTAAAAAAAACTTTGAATCATATAAATAGGCATCTAATATTCAAAAGTTACACTCTTTAAAAAGGAATCATTAGCAAAAAGTTAGTGTTTCAGTTGATTAATCCTCCCTTTTCTCCCCACCTTAAGACAACCATGCATCCAACTCTCAATTCAACACCATTTCAAAAAACAGCTTCATCACCAATATGACAAGAGAGGTCCCTTGCCTAACAGCCCCTAGAGGAAGAGGAAAATGCTATTGGCCCCTTATTGATTAGATGGCAAAAGTGAGAGAGGAAACCCATCTCCTAATTCAGTTCCTCCATCTGTCCTTGAAACCCATTAACTTTAATAAATATCCAAGGAAGCACCAAAATACACCCTCGTATGTAGCACCCGGAAAGGAGGAGAAAAAAAAAAAAAAAAAAAAAAGGGGGGGCCACATCAGCAGCCACGTCAGCAGGCCCGGTCAGCAGTCCCGGCCAACCGGGGCCTGCCACGTGGCAAGACCGCGTCACTCCGAAAGGAGCCACGTTGGCGATCCGCGTGGGTGCGATCCAACGGCCCAGATCAATCGCGCGATCGAACGGCCCAGATTCAATCAAAAACGAACGGCCCAAATTAAAACGAAATGAACGGCTGAGATCAAAGGGCAAGGGGTTATAAATAGAACCCCCACACCAAACCACAAACCCTAGCCGCCCGCCGCTCGCCGGAGAAGACGAACCAGAGGCCGACCGCCGCCACCCGCCGCCGCACCGGGGAAATTTCCGACCGCCGATCGAGGTAAATTTCATACCCCCGACTCGTTTTTCCCTGCTGATTCCTCCTATGGCCAAATCGATGCCGAAATCCCAGCCAAACGGCCGGAATACGCGGCCGAAGCCCAGCGGCGCCGCCGCGCCCCCTCTCGGTTTTTGCCTCCGACGAGGCCCTTCCCGGCCTCCGTTCGATGCAATTTTTATATCACCGTGATCACCATTCTTTTCTCTGCAGGTTGACCGAAGCCGAATCACCAAAACACGAACCTCGCCGGAGAGCCGCCGTACCCGAGAGCGCCGCCGCCGGTAAGCTCCGTTTTTCCGTGATTTTTTGGCCCCCCGAGGGCCCTAGGGTTGTTTTCTGACAAGGACCAATGCGAGTGTGGCCGAATTCGGCCGAAAACAGCCAACCCGAGGCGACTCGCCGCCGCCAGCGGCGGCGCCGTCGCCGGAGCACGGCGGAGCCGCCGTGCCGGAGTTGCGATTTGGGCCGAAAGAGGCCCTGGGCCTAATTTGGGTTTTTTTTTGGAACACGTGCAGGTACTGTTAGTGTGTTTCAGTTCCCCGGGAAAAATTCAGGGAAAATTAGGGACGGCCTGCAGGAGCACTGTGAATCGTATTCGGATCCCGAAAACAAGTAAGGACCCCTCACCCTATTTCCTATCACGGTATTAAAGTTCAAAATGATAAAACGGTATTTCTTGAATTAACGAATATGTGAAATTGCTTAAGGTGGCTAATGGAGCCCGAGTCTAGTGTGATTGGTGATTTACTGTTATTTGGCCTGTTTACAGCTTTAAATGCAAAATGAGGTTTGATGGGGTCATTTTACAGATTTGGGTGCATATACTACGTTTTTATTAATCATGGGTTGAATGACTGAAAAACTGATACTGTATGTTATCTGTTCGGCATGAATTACTGTTTTGTTTGTTTGTATGTGAATTGATGATGCTGACTGAGGAAAAGGAAAATGAAAGATTGTGTAGACTGATAATTGTATTATGGGGGTCAGCCTGACTAGATATCCTGGGAGATGGTGGACGGACCAGGTCCGTAGGGAACCCTACCGGGATTGTGGTCTCACATGCCGGACGGGGTATGGAGATCTTATGGTTTTGGCGCCCATACCGGACGGGGTATGGAGACGGCCCGTTTCACCCTCATACCGGACGGGGTATTGAGGTTTATGGTTTTGGCGCCCATACCGGACGGGGTATGGGGACGGCCCGTTTCACCCTCATACCGGACGGGGTATTGAGGTTCATGGTTTTGGCGCCCATACCGGACGGGGTATGGGGACGGCCCTGAAAACTGATTATGAATGTTAAAGGTTAACGGGTAGCGGAACCCCTATGGACCCCCACGGATACTAGTAGGCTGGTAAATGAGAAAATGATATGTTGTACAATGATTGAATTACAAGAGGCGTGATAAGTGTTATGTTTTACAGCTCATATTATTCAATGATTATGATAATGTTATTGTTTTTCTTATATTGTTTTCATAAATTCCACCGAGGTAAGTGGATGGTAAAGGTTTTCATGTTAATAAACGAGTTTGTTGTAAATTATGCTCCATTGGTCTTTTTGTGTTTTTCTACCCACCTTTACCTCCGTGACGGTGAGATATCGTGATGTTCTTACTGAGCTAGTGTAGCTCACTCCTTATTTAATCATTTCAGATCACGAAGACATGGTTCCCGAGCCCGTTCCGCAGGAGGACGACGAAGGGGATGCCTAGAGATTCTGTAGTCATACTCATAGTTTTATTTTCGAGTTTCTTTCTTAGTTAGTTTAATCTTTTATATTTTAAGTACGTTTTTGATTTTTCGTGTAAGGGATGTTAACTGAAATTTTGATCTCGCTTCCGCATTTGATATATTTAAATACCCATTTCATTTTAATATTTCCGGGGCCGTTACATCGTAAGCATTTTCTTCATCAAGATTCTACCTGGTCATATAACTGCACTACCAATACCAACGATACAATGAATTGATAAAAAAAATTTAAAAAGTCATCATTTTGGAAACATAAGAATTCATTTCCAAACGACTTCCTTGCGAATTTACAAATCAACCAAATTTCCTTGCCCATTTATTCCTAACAGAGGAAATAAAATTTTGAGAATGGTTCAAATTTCTGATTCATATCGATATTTCCAATCTTTCAACAACTAAGGAATACTTTTGCCACAGAAGGCCAGGGAAGGAGTCAAATTTTTTGAATAGTTAATAAAAATAATATTCACCGCAAAAAAGAAAAGAGGAAAGTATGAAATTTTTACGCTAGTTTCACTAATTTATCCAAATTCAAAAAAAAAATTATTACAAAAAAGAACATCATCCCATAAGAAAACTCGAAACTGCTCAGCTATACACACATGCGGGGTAAAGTAAAAGAAGACACTGACAAATTAGGAAAAGTGCGCTATATTTCTTCCAAACTATCTCCAATTTTTGCTACGAACCAAACAGAAACTTTTGAACAAACATTAAAAAGAGAGAGAAACAAAATTAAACCTGAGGAATTTGAGTAGTTTTGCCACTACCCGTCTCGCCGACAATAATGGTAGTAGCATGAGTTTCAACCAAATAGAGAATAGCTGTTTTATACTTATAAACAGGCAGTCTCTGCCTCTGCTTCTCAATACTGGCATGCCCATATCTGTAAGCCAAAATATACCTGATAAGTCTATATGAACATCCATGGTATGCCCATAATGACTGAGAAGAGATTAACCAATGAGAAGAGAGAATACGTAGAGGAAAAGGAGGTAGCAGAAGGAGAGAGAAAAACGACGCCGCCTTCTTCATCGTCGACGAACCGAGGCTTCTCCGTTCCCGGCCTCCAAAACTGGGACATTTTGTCTAAACCTTGCCGCTGCTCATTCTTCGGTCTCCCAATTTGGATTTATAAACATTTAACTTTACGGAAATAAAAGTTTTATTGAACTAAAAAAAAAAATAGATAATTAAAATATAACAGAATTATTATATCTTAATTTTTTTTGTGAAAAAAAAAATTGCAGAATTAATGAGATGTAAAAAAAACAAATAAAAGTCTATATTTTATATAATATATAATTTTAAAGTTTTTAATCAATTAAAAATTTAAATAGATAAGTATATATATTGTCGAAACATAAAAATTAAAATTTAAAAGTTTAATAAATAATTATTATTAATATTATAATTTTTATTTTATTTTATTTTATTTAATCTTTATATTATTACCTTTGTATATAATTATCATATAGGTCTGTAATGAGTTAATTAAATTTTATCCAAAAAATTTAAGGTAATATTTATTACAACTATGATTATTTTATTTTTTATTTTTATTGATAAAATGTGAATAAAAAATTATTATTTATATTACCGCTTTATTTGTATTTATTTTATTTAAAAATTAAAAAAATGAAAAGTTTAGTTACGGTCTATTTTTGTTTTCCTTTTTATGTATGTAATATATTATATTAAAAAGTTAGTAATAAATTTTAGAAATGATAAAAAAAAAATAATATAATTAGTATGTTTATTTAAATAATATTACATCTTTAAAAAAATATTTATTATAATCTACCTTAGAATACATATCTCAATTTAATTATTCTATTGATCGTCTTCAACATTTATGTGAAACACAAAATTATCAATAATAGATTATCATTAAAATTAAATAATAGAAATACCAACTTCATATTTTAGCCCAAAAAATTAAATAATTCACGTATAACCTCAAACGTGCATTTAATTGGATTATCAAATTTAACAGCTGTATGGTAATTTTTAATCAAAGTTATTCGATTTCTAAAATAACAGAAGAATGAATATTTAAAAAAATGAAAATTGTTGTTGTACCACTTCTCTACAAAGTTTAGATTCAAATAACTTCCTCGTACAAACAGAGCAATAAGATTCAAACATGAAAAAGTAAGGAAATATTCATTGCTGTTTTTAACTCATTTGGATTGCTAAAACAAAATCAGTTCATTTCTTTCAAATTTTGGTATGTCGTACATGGCTTAAAACTACAAATTCAATTGGATTACCAAATTTGATTCCATTTACTGACTGGACCTAACTAGTGTTTCTAGTGCCAACCATCCATGTCCCATAAAGATTCAAAACTAAAATTGCACAGAAAATAGATTCACTTGCTCATATAACAGGCGAATAAAATTTAAATTACTGTCAAATCACAATATTCTACAAGTCATATTTATAGAACATCCTTACAGGCTGAGCACTAGGATACAAAATATGAAGAAATTCCTTACTAACAACAACTTGGAACTCAAAACCCTAATCCCTATAAAATCATTTAGAAACGTCTGTGGCGGATTCATTGGCTACTTTAAGTCCATAATAAATCTAGAAACTCGGCATAAACTTGTAAATCAAAACGGAAGAAATCCATTACATTTTTATGTCTAATTACTTTTTTTTTTTCCAGATACAGGCTAACTTGTCCAAATATTTGACCTTCTAGGAAAACTACCTGTAGCCTCTACCCCTTCCACGTCCACCCCAGCCTCTGCCCCTGCCTCTTATGCCGCTCCTCCCGCCACGAGAGATACCTTCTAGTGCCTTCGTGACAAGCTGATTTTGCAAACCACCACCAGCACCACGGCCTTTTTTCATTCCTACATTATTTGAAACATTGGCAGCACCAGGCCGTTTCCCTCTGCATGGAAATTATTATGAGAATCGGCAAGAATTCACTGGAAGTTAAGCATTACATTCCAATTTAAATCTCTTTGCATAGCAAAAACCCTCTCCCTCCCAAGGAAAAAGTTAAAGGAAATAACGAAATGATTAAAAAGCATAATATGAATAAACTATGTCTGATGACAAAGGAGAAAAACTTTGAGATCAGGCATATATCTCATACCCTGTTGCCGTTGCAGCAGATGGCAAAGATGGTCTTATAGCTTCTTTCCAAGAAAGATTGATAGTACTGTCTCCAATAAAAGCTGGTGTTTTTGAATGTAGTGGCTGAATTATTACAAAATAGTTAGTTCTAACTGTTCATGCACACATTCCACATAAAGCTGTCGCAAAAGTTTCACTGCCATTGTTCACCTTTGTCATTGCCAAAATGTTATTACACGTTCTCAACCCAGTTGTAGTATTCTGCTTTTGAGTTTTCTGCAATAAAAAGAAGAACTATGTCTCAGAGATGCAGACAACAAAAGAAAGTCCTCAAGATACCAGGAATATCCAGAGAAATAAACTTACAATACTCTCCTTAGCTTCATCAGACGTAGCAGCTGCCATTGCTTTGTTGTGCTCAGCCATTCCCTGAGTTAATTTCTTCATTGTAGCTCTTGTTAGGTCTTCAACATTGCTCAATCTGGATCGTCAATGACATTAATAAATTAATTAATTAAAGATGCATCAATAGAAAATATCCTGACCCGTAGAAAAAGCATAGCAATATTATTAAATAAATTTTCATAGATAAAATGTTACATAAAAATGAAATATCATCAAAAACAGATGTAGTAAAGTCAAAACAAGGGAGCATTGCAATGGACTCTATTACAAACACATCATACTGATGAATGTGGAAAAATGATTTTTTTTTTAAGATAATTTCATTTAATTAAATAAAAACAAAATAATGAATATTATGCTTATTATTGAGTACTAGGACCCTGTAGATACATATTTTTATGAACAATAAAACGAAAGATACAATTAATTGCACATGTGGGTATTTTACTAATACACCATTTACTCTCATTACACTTAATATACATTTCCCAACATTCCTCCTCAAGATAGTGAATAGATATTGTCCATTCTTAGCTTGGTAATAACTATCTGAAATCCAGAATTATTTAAATCCTTAGTTAATACATAGGCAAACTGTGAGGCGGTAGACATGTATGGTGTACATATCAAACCACTATCTAGTTTTTCCTTGATAAAATGCCTATCAACTTCGATATGCTTGATCTTCTTGTATTGTACTGGATTGTGGGCAATACTGATGGCCATCTACTATCACGGAACCTGTCTCTAGACTGATTTCTATGAAATGAAACTGGATGATGTCATGTTGAATCCCTGCTTGCTTCATTTTGGAAATACAGCAAAATGCACTAGACAACTAGATATGACTGTCAGTTAAGTTAGAAGATTTTATGAATCCTGATCAAAGCATGCATCATATCCACCCATCATAAATCACTTAGTTCAAAAGCCATAGATGATTATCTAATTTTGGATAACAATGAGATGATGCAAAAACTCGTTAAGGGAATTGGAGAGATGTATAATAGAATTCAACCACCTACTCATGCAAAAGAACAGGCAGTAACATATGCTAAGCAAAGCTCCAATTACCATCCAACACTCATTTACTTTGAGACCAACGCTTTTCTTTTCTTGACAGAAACAGTACTATCAGAAAAAGAAAGAGAAAAACATCAGTTGCGGACTAGATATCGTGAAAAAATTCTTTTTTTTTAAGGAAAGAGATCCAGCAAAAAGCAATGAAGAATAGCCGGCCAAAACTTTGAGGCCATGCTCAAGCAGTTATTTTCAAAAATAGAGGAGAAAGTAATGTTATGACATATGGGTCATCTGATGCCCAAGAGAAAAATAACAATACCATTTGCTTAACTTGCACATGAAATGTTAAAGAAAGCATTTCCGAACAGATCAAAACCCTTAGAAAAAAAAACCAGATCGTGACTAAGCCCAAGTATCCAACTGGATTTGACCACCAATACACAAAAGTATTGAAGCATACATGATGCAAAATGGGCTAGCATTAGATTTTCTAAATAGTTTAGAAATTGTAATTATATTAAATATAAAAGTACTAACCAATTTAGGAGCCTATTCTTTTTAGAAGTATTATAATAGTTTTAGTAACTTAAAATTTTTATTCTTGTAAGCATTTTCCTATTTGTATTAGAATTAGTATTCCTAATATTACCAGTATTACTTTCTTATTTTTATTAGGATTAGTATTCCTAATTCTACTCCTTTACTATTTCTTATTCTAATTCTATTTAGGAGAGGTTGCTTAGAACTTATTATAAAAAGCTTGTAATTTTACTTATATAAGCATTCATGTTATTCAATAATATTTTAAAAGTTTCTCAATTTTTTGGTTTTGTCATGCAATCAAACCCTTAAGTATAATACATAAGGTTTCTTATATGTGATGTTTAAAAAACCTTAGCTGTGATATCTAGGTTTTTTTTATCCCCAAATCCCTAATTGGACAAATCAACTCTATTTGTTCTACACCAATCCACTCGTAACATTTCATTAAAAAGATAAGTTATGATATAACAAGTAATATAAAAAAAAATCACAAGTAGAACTTTGCTACAACATCTGTAGAAACTTTATACATCTGAGCATTTCATTCCCATGACAAAAGCTTCTCTAACTGAAAAGACAAGTGAAGAGGACAATCATTCGTGAGCATACCCCAGTGCATAAGTACTCGACATGGTTAACCTTAGAGTATATGGAAATATGCCATTTAGTTATGTCGTTAAATTACTGGAATGTGAAGAAAAAAATTTGGAAGCATACAAGGCTCTCAGTGACTTCTCAAAGTGGATAGATATGTACCATGTGAACCAGGAAAGGTGGACAATGAAAAGGAGGATGATAGAGATGTGAAACAAGAACTTCCAATGATGTATGACAGCATTAACCAATTTACTAAAATGTCCACAAAAACCAAATACACAAAAGTACCTTTCAGTGAAGTCCTTATAGTACTCTGAGAAGTCCTCACCAAGTCTATCTGATGGTTGGCCAGTCACTATTTTGTAACCACACAGACTGTTTGTAGCATTTGGAGCCTATATAAACACAAAGATCAAATGGTTAACATAAACCTCAAACAAGCCTCAACCAGCAAAGGGGGACAGCCATGCCAATCCAAGCAGAGCAACTAGAAGCCCACTATAATGAGAAATGTAAAATCACAAAATTCAGCAACCTTATGGGCTAAGTGGTGAAACGCATACAACAAGCACTCCACGTAAGTAAAGTTCATCTCTTCTCCAGTCTTTCTCCGAGGCATGTATTTCTGAGAGGGAAAAAAAATATTTTAAGAGGCAGTATCTACAAATACATAGTAACTTCAACAGATTAATTACTAAGAAGCTTCCTGACATTCTATTTTCGAAAAGAAAAAATGCTTCCAAAACTGAAGAGATGATCAACAAACCAATGTCAATAGCAAAACAAGTTTTTAAACAACAAAAACTCAAGAGTAAACATTAGATGTCAATCATCATTTAGGGACAGATGAATTAGATATTTCTCATGCCATCACCACATAATGTTCCAGAAAACAAATACCTTTAGCAGCTGAACCATAGAGGGAAGGATCTGGCGAGACTCCTGTGATGTTGTATAAGGTGAAATATCAGCAAGGGCTTTTAACAAATCAAGCTTTCTTTCCTCAGGAAGCTGGCAGGAAGTAACACAGTTAGGATGTATTTATACCAAAGGTTCTTTATGGATGAAAAGGAAAAATAGTCAAGAGAAGTGCCTTCATAAGGAAATGTTGCCAACTGCAACGTATTACATTGCTAATGAAATGTTAAAATCCACAAGCCCATTAAAAATTACAATCAATTTTAGATGTCCGTTGCTGGTGATAGAAAATAATGCATTACCTTGTCAAAAACAGGTATGATGTGTTTGTTCAAGTAGTTAAGGAACTTGCTTCCTGGTGCACCCCTCTACAAAAGTTTAATCAAATGTGAGGAAATTATAAGGTGTCATTACCAAAAGCGGATATCCCAGTCATCAAAGAAAATGCATACCGCAAAAAAGGGAAGAGCCATGTGCAAGCATGATATTAACCTGTCAATATGGTCTGCATCTGAAACCTGCATTTGAAAATTTGTTAGCTACGGCTATTCATCAAAATATAATAAAAGAGCATCAGAATATGAAACAGTCAAAATTTCCCCACAATGTTTTAAGGCAGATTTACGGGACTGAGTAACCCCAGTTAGCTTCATGGGTCAGTACAATGCATGCATTCCCAACTCTGTTGTGGGCATCCACACCTTTCCCCATCCCTTTCCCATACAATTGGAGGCTGTTTATTTTGGATCATAGGTAAATTTCAATATGAATGGAGGTTCTAAAGCCCTCAAATAACAAAACACAAGATCCGATTTTGAACAAAAATTTCTGTCAGCTTCCAAGCTGCTTAAGCTTTCAAAACAACAATGAATGTATTAGAATGGAAGTCCACAATTTACAAAAGTATCTTTTCTTTTATCAAATGGCTTTCCTCTTCCATTTTGCCGCCAACAAGCAGGTAAATTTATGTTTTCAAGAGATGCCTTTACATAGTTCCAAAGCCATCTATTAACACCTAGATTCGCAAGCAAACAAGTGACCAAGATAACATAAATATCCGTTGCACCCGTCTGAAAAATCAAGCTTTTCATAGCTCAGTTGGTTAGAGCACCCGTTTAGTAAGCAGGAGGTCTTGAGTCTGACTCTCAATGAAAGCAAATTGTATTTGCATCATCTAGTTGTTTCTAACCTTCTTTGTTATCTCAGAAAAATAAATAAATATCCGTTGCCTAACAAACATCATTTTCAATTACACAATAATCATGAAATTAGGTTTCAAAAATATTGACACTTCTAATTTGTTCACCAAAGCAACAGACTTTCAATTCAGAATTCCTTTTTGGCAAACATACACAATGAAACAAGCACTTACATTAAATTGTGCATCTAAATCAGCCTGCCCTTCAATAATTCCAATTAGTTCCTTCATGCGTTCTGGAGGAGCTTTCTCCCCAAATATGCTCAAGCTTGTCAGGAAATCCATAAACATTCTAAATTCTGCACCAGTTACATCCGCTAAGCTCTGGAACAAACCTAAACCAAATTAATAATGTATCTTACAGTAGGAAAACAAATTTAAATCTTTAAAAAAGAAAAAAGCTCACAATTTAAGCATAAACTGAACATCAATAAAAAAGAATATTAATGAAAGCTACTGTGGTAAGATCATCATCCTACCTTTTTAATCAAATCAGTTATATGCCTTTCCATCTCCTCTTGAGGCTTTAAGAGCTCAGCTTTAAGAGGAAAAACCTGCCAAATTGTGCAAAATCAGTCCAACCATCATAAAGAGAAGGGAAGTACACAAGAAACTAAACCACCCAAGAAAGCTGAAAACCACATTCATCAACCCTTGCCTGGTGGTTCAGGCCTGAACCTCTTTGTATTACCCCACACTTATCTCCCACTGCTAAAAAACAGCTAGTCAATTATTTATTTATTTATTTGATTAAGAAAATATTACTAGAAATAGAATGTGAGGCACAATGGTATAACACTAGTTATCCTCCCAAAAGAATTAAAAAGATAAGGAGATTAGAAACCGACAATGCTCAATAGTGGATGACTGGCCGAAATCTATAGAAAAAATGACTATCTTTAAAATGCAAATGCACCCTAACTGAAAGAGACACTGAAAATGATAACATTCTTAGAGAGATAAAAATGAGAAACATGACATCTGAAAATCTTATAGTTCCTCTACAGCCAAATCACCCACAATCCAGCAAAATAGCAGTGTGCCACAAACTTAACTTCCTTCTGCCAATGCCAAAGAAGGCAAAACAAAGGAAATCCTGAAGATGAGGCGGAGAAACCTAAGAAACTGCAAAAGTATCAAGTAAACAGGTCCAAATGTCCCCAGCAATATTGCAATGCATAAGAGGTAACCATGTGAACTAGCATCTTTGGAGCACATCAAACACATTCCAAAGGCAAAGCACAATTGGTCAAAGAGCTTGGAGTAAAGCAATAGTATTCAGTCTATTCAGAATTGGAGCTCAAACTCTTTATCCTTATAAGGAACAAGAACATTCTAAAAACACTTCAGAATCAGCTCTCGGCATGATGCCTGGTTGGAAGGTGGACACTCAGCAAACAATTCACCGGATCTATGCTATTGCCAAGTACAAGAATGTCTTGATTCAAGAATCATACCATGGTATTATGAGGGAGGGAAATCTCAATGATCAGAAAATTAGGGAATATGAGGCTCTACTTTTAGCCCTTACTAGGGCCAGAGTTAATGAGACTAGAGACCAACCAGCATGGAGGTTCAATGCTAGAGGGATTTTCCCTATCAGATCTTTCTACAATCACTTGACCAAAAGAGACGCCACGATTACTGGCTTTCCATTCTAGAAATCTAGAAGCTTAACACTCCACCTGGAGTTACTATTTTTTCTTGGGAGGTTGGTAGAGGTTACATTTTAACTTTGTACAAGCTGAGTAAGAGAGCAGGATTTTGGTGAATGTTTTTTTCTTATGCAAAAGGGAGATGAAGTCATGTGAGCATATCCTTTTGTGATGTCATTTTGTGTATAAATTGTGGACCTTGCTTATAGCCTTGTGGGTAGTAATTGGGTGATGGCTACTTCAGTGCGAGAAGAAATTTGGCAACGAAAACGAATCAGTGCTGTGAAGAAGCATGTTAACCTCATTTCCTTTACTACCTTTTGGGCAGTGCAGAAAGAAATGAACAAGAGATGTTTCGAGAGCATGGAAGGTTATTTAGATAGGTTAAAAGATGGATGGTTTGAGACTTTAGGTTTTCTATTATAGGTCTCCTCTCTACTCATTTGAGGACTTTCAGAACCTTATTGACATTTTGATTGATATGCAAACAACATCATACATGGATTTGTATCTCCTTAGTGCTTGTGAATGAATCATACCATCTATTTTTACTTCAAAAAAAAATACATTTTAAAAACACTTATCTTGAGTTCGGTTCAATTTTCAATTCTATGGAATAAAAATAGAAATACAATACAAATGAGATGAAAATAAAAATGAAAATAGCATTGTCATTTCATGTCAATTCCATCTAATTCAAGATAGGTGTTTTTTTAATTTCTCCCTTGCCAAGTAGGAATCCAGAACCTTTACTATAGAATTGAAGATACGACTGGTGTTATTTAATTACGCATCAAACATGTAAATTATTTGTAATTCTACCAAATAATTAAGATGTAGGAACTTAATGGGAACATAATCAACTTGAATTAAGCACAATATTACCAAAGACATCATTATGAATAGAAAGATTATGGGCTAAGAATGCTAAGAAATTGAATGAAATGAGTCTCAGGACCAAATCCTACAATCAAGACCTTAAAAAATGATATAGAATCAAAGAGCTAACCAAAAGAAATAATTTCTACAACTTCATGATCATTAAGAATGTATTCAACGAGCAATGACTCATAGAGTTAATAAACAAAATGATGTTGGAGTGATATGACCCTGGGATAGATGTATAAACACAAAAACTAAGTAGGCAACAAAACATGTCAATCCAAGGATCTTCCAAACAAGAAAGTGTGGACCATCACCAACACTCGATCTGAACAAGGGACAAAGGTGAAGGCCAAAAGTAGCTTTCTAGGGGCTCATGTAAGTAGTAGTAGTGATAATGAAAATACCTAATATAAGTGTACAGTCAATTGTTAAGAATTATTGGAACACCAATCGCCAAACTCAAATATATAATTTGTTTCCTAACAACGATCTTTTTGTAGAAATATACATATATCATCATATAGAGAAAGAGAAGTTCAACATCTGAGGACTAGTCTTCCCAACAGATAAAACTAAAAAGAACAGGAAAAAAAAGAGAAAAAAAAAATTGACAATGCTCAATGAAAGATTACCAACTAATCTCTGTGCAAGATAGAGAAAGAATAATATCCAAAATGTATATACACCTTAGCCCCAAAGAGATGCCAAAAAAGGACAAAATTACAACGAAGCAAAAATAGAGAGAAATAATCGCTAAACTTAGTGTTCCTCTCAAATCATATCACCCACAACCCAGCAAAAAAGAGCCAGTGTCCTTAGCTGTTTCCTCTTGCCAACACCATGGAAAGCAGAAGAAAGAAACCACTAAAAGATGAGATTTTGAGTTCAATTCTTCTAGATAGCACTCTTGAAGTAAATTCTTCAATATACCAAGACGATGTAAGGGATTACAAAGCCTTTACGATTCCACACAAAGGGGACTGTCTCAAGCAAACCTCAGGATACCCCTTCCCATCCAAACCCAAAAAAAAAACCATCAAGTAATGGGCAGAATTTTGTGTCATTTCTGATAACACAAGGACATAGTGTAGGTTTTCTACATTTTTTATACAATTCAATATTTGCATTTGAATTGTCTTTCCAGTTCTTGTCTACTTTAAGGGCTTCTTGTTCTTGTTCCTATACTTCTTCCTCTTCAGAGGTAAGGAAGATATAAGGACAAAGTGTAGGTTTTCTATATTGTAGGAAAGAAAATGAAAATTATAAAAAGACGATGTCATTATATAAGATAGTCTTCCAACCTTATCTCTTATGAAGCTTAGAACTTTCTCACGAATGACTTCGTCAGCACTTGGTTCATCAACACTCCCGACATGCTTAAACAAGGCTGTCAAAGATGCTGCATCAACAATAAGATGATGTTACCAAGGGATAGAAATCATCAGAATTGTCCACAGGCCTATAAATGTACTAGAATAGAACGATCATGAATTACTCCAAATATTTTAAATATCTTAATCCACAAATCAATGGTGATGGAATCAAATTTGTAGTTTGTCAAAGTACTACTTCTTTGTTAATTACTACTACTATGCACCATCATGGTACAAGGCTGAATTTAATACGTACTTGTTAATAAAATTAAATTCGTTAAATATGTGCTACTTCACATTACAACCGCTTTATACTTTTTATTTCGAAAAAAAAAAAAATGTGTTACTTCACATTATGTGCTCTTCATCACTATATATCGTCCAGAAAAGAGAATAAGATTTTATAAGGCCCAAGCTCATCAAAAAACTAGGTTGCCCCTATTCTCTTCTTTGGATTGCCAAGAAATCCATCTCTAAAACTTCAGTTGATCCTGGATGAGTCAATGATCCTAATTTGCAAAAGTCAACCAGCATATACAGACTTCTAGTTAAATTTTACGTAGAAACTACATTTTCTTAATATAACACTGGATTAATTTTGCAATTAGCAACCTTGTTTTGAACAACTGATTGATATTGATCAACCTAATAAAGGATTACTATGCTTAATTGAGGAATTAAATACAATGATGAAGCCAATACCCTTCCAGATTTTGAACAGTGGCATCAACTTTTCAATTGAGTGAATAACATACTAGTCCTGAGAATTTAGTAATTGTTCAATTTGGTCTCAAGCAACTTAATGGTGGCAGTTTAGGGATTAAATATTGCAACAAACGCAATATTAATGACGAACGGTATATTAGAAGAAATCAGAGATTCTAAAACCTAGCCACTCGCTATTTCGTTGAGTAGAAATTGGGTTCACCCGTGTGGACTTTTTATTGTTTACTTAAAAATGAAAAGAAATGTTACTAAAGATGGTGGTTCTGTTTTTCTGGTACGAAACTAAAAAAATACACTCTCATAAAAATTTCAAGCATCAAAATAAATTTTTAAAGAGGGGTTTAAAAAAATTTTAACAGGAGCTATCAGATTTAGTCTTATTGCTTTCAAATACTTCAAGAGACCAAAAAGAGAAAGAGAGAGTGCATAATTGGAAATTTTAA